GTTTCTACTAGCGATGCACTTGTTTCTACTAGCTTCTTGTTACTACTCGTAAGGCACTTGTTTCTACTAGCGATGCACGTGTTTCTACTAGCTTTTTGTTACTACTAGTAAGGCACTTGTTTCTACTAGCGATGCACTTGTTTCTACTAGCTTCTTGTTACTACTAGTAAGGCACTTGTTACTAGTAGCGATGCACTTGTTTCGACTTGGCCAAAAAACGTAGTCTGTAAACTTCGCCAAGCTTCTGCTTGACGCCCGTCCAGCTGAGATCTCGGTCTTCACCCAGAATCACCATGGCAGCAAAGAACACCTGCACTTTTTACATGCAAATGGATGTCAACGCTGCTTGGGGCGCTCCTGGCCTTACTAGGAACAAGAAGCTAGGAACAAAGGGCATCGATGCTAGGAGCGATCGGACGCGAACAAGGTCTTAAGCGGTCCTCGAAGAATGCTCTCTGGTTCCCGAACGCATGGCGAAGGATTCTCGTCGAACTCTGCGGATCGCTACACGTTGGTGGAGCGCTGGCAGCAGTCAACCACTATCAAGCGAGTGTTGGATGGATGGATTTGCTTTTAACTAGGAACAAGGACGCTATTAGTAACAAGTGCATCGCTACTAGTAACAAGTGCCTTACTAGTAGTAACAAGGACGCTATTAGTAGCTCCTGGCCTTACTACTGGGAACAGGACTTTGGCACACTGTGCGAAATTAGAAGTAGCTCCAACCTAACTACTGAGAGCGATCGCCTCCAACCTAATAGCGACAAATAGTTCTTCCAACAACTTGTGGAAAAGTTCCCCACAAATGATCTCGTCCTGGCCTTCTCGATGTGGTTCTCACACTCGGGAAAGCGTTTCCAGAACTCCTACCAGCTCGCTGATGAATTGGTCCATCCAGCTGAATCAGCGGACAAGTGCCGTGGTTTTCCTTATCCCTCACAATGCATGTTCTCTAGCAACAAGGTCGCTACTAGGGCTCCTGGCCTTACTACTAGTAAGGTCGCTAGTTCTCTTGATCCTGCCAAAGGGCCTCTTGGGCCTCTCTCTTGGATAAAGTGGAGCCTGACCACCGTTACAGTACAACAAGTGCCACGCTAGTAGAAACAAGTGCCTTACTAGTAGTAACAAGGACGCTATTAGTAACAAGTGCATCGCTACTAGTAACAAGTGCATTGGTTAGGACGTCTTGACTTTGTTTGGAAAAACAGTGAGCTCCCAGAATGTCCAGGTTGGAGACCATCGCTTGTAGGGTAGAGGCCATTGCTATTAGGTTCCTTAAAGGCATTTTCTTAGCCTTTTTTTCTACTAGCTTCTTGTTACTACTAGTAAGGCACTTGTTACTAGTAGCGATGCACTTGTTTCTACTAGCGATGCACTTGTTTCTACTAGCCTTTTTTCTCTAAGGGTATGTTTATATTATTTTCTGATGGAGGCCGCTTCTAATAGGAATGTCCAGAATGTCCAGACAGCAGCTCCTGGCAGGAGTCGACCGTCACCACATGAAGTCCTTCTTTCCTTGTCTGAGAGCCAAATTGGAAAATTGGAAAACAAACTTGAAAGTTTGTTCTGAAAATGGAAAGGAACATAAAAGGGTACTTCTTTCTCTTTCTTTTTTGCATTCATTCACTCCGAAAAGCAGTAATTCATCTTGCACTTGCTGCCGTTCAAAAGGGTCGGCGCACTCAACCATTGAAGGCCATTGGACACTGAGTCACATGGGCTTTTGGTGCAACCTTCGGCTTTCCAAAGTAAACAAGCAGGTCTAAAAAGTCTAAAGGAAGGAAAGAACCTACTGGTGCGTCTAAACAACCATTCAAGAACACAGAAAGAGTCTAGTCTAAAGAGTCTAAAGTACTAGGAACAAGAAGCTACTAGGGGCTCCTGGCCTTACTACTAGGAACAAGAAGCTACTACAAGTCTAAAGAAGAAAAAGAAAGCGCAAATCTGTGGAGACCATTCCATCCTCAGTGTTCCAAGCCAAGCGACGCTGATTTCAAGCAATATTGCTGGACCTTTCAGGAGTGTCCACTTGGTGAACGTTGCGTTTGAGGAAAGGGTGCATCAACAAAGTGAGGCTGGCGTGTTTGAACGAACAATTGTTGATTGAACATTGTCTTCTGTGTGTTATGAGTTTTTGTGTTTCTTTCACCTTGTCAGTCAGGCTGGGACCTGGACAATTTGGAATATATGCCGATATAGTGTTGAAAACAGCAGGAAGAAATTCCGATAGGCAAGCAGGTGTTTTAAGACAAAGTCGGAACACCCATTGACATTCTCTTTGGTTTTGAAGAGTGGTCGAACAAACCCCGATCCTAACCAGGATCTTGTGTCCAAGAGATACGGCGCCGCTTTCTTCTTGCAAGGGCACAACACCAGGATCTCGAAAGACCCATTCCAAGAACTCCTCGTATTGCAAAATGCCATCCCGGCCTCACAAGAACGCTGGCACCCCGTGCCATGAACCTTGGCCGCCTTTGTCTTAAAACCTGTAAGGAAGCAGCTAGCAAACCAAAAGAAAGACACGAAGCAAACCAAGAGAGAAGGTCTAACGAACCCTCGAACCCGCGTCCTCTGCTCCACGCTAGGCTGGTCATTTCTTGGGTGCCCCCTGTACTCCCCACTTGCTGCTTCAGGCGTTGAAAACAAACCTATAGGAGTAGCGATGCCCTTTGCTCCTAGTAGCTTCTTGTTACTAGTAGCAATGCACTTGTTACTACTTGCGAACAAAATAAACCTACTACAAACCAACTTGCCTTTTTCATGTTTGCCAAACGCAAAGCTGAGAAGTCAAAGACAACCTTCCCAATCTCAAGGTGTATTCTGAACATCCCAATCTGAAACACATCACACAGATTCCCCGCGACATCGCATCTTCTCCTTTATAACGCTCCCTCTCTGCTTACTACTGGCTTCTTGCTGCTACAGGTGACATGATTCCCAAGGAAGCTTCTAGCTACTAGTAGCTTCTTTTTACTTAGTAGCGATGGCCTCCAACCTACTTGCGATGGCCTCCACCTAATAGCGTCCTTGCTACTATATACACCCTTTAACCAAAGAAGACGTCAAAGAGATAGAGAAGGACGGTAAAAGTTCATGCACCTTTAAAAGAGCCGGACCAAGGTTGGCACATTTTTCCGAAATAGTGCGAGCATGAGCTATCCTGACACGTGCTCTTGTGCTACTAGTAACAAGTGCCTTACTAGTAGTAACATGAAGCTATTAAGTTACTTGGTTTGGGTCTGGCACCGGCATTGAGAGCGCTTCTTGACCGAGACTAACGTCTACAGTCTACCCAGAACATGTCAAACCTGAGTGCCCACAGGGCCCGAAGTGTTTTTCGATTTTTTGCAGGAAAACATCGCTCTTAGGAGCGATCGGACGCTACTAGGGGCTCCTGGCATCGCTACTAGCAAGGACGCTACTAGGAGCAAAGGGCCTTACTACTAGTAACAAGTGCATCGCTACTAGGAGCAAAGGGCCTTACTAGTAGTAACAAGGACGCTAGTAGTAACAAGAAGTCTAGGCTGGAGGCTTAAGTTGGGCCATTTCGTCTAAGGAACTGAGATCGGCTGATCTGAAGCATGCGTCCACCTGGCACTTCTCACGTTCACATGCTATTTACATGGCCTTCTGCACTCTTTGCTGGACTGGTCTACAAACACTGTTTTCACTGCATGCAGGACTGCAGAAAAAAGGAAAAGAAGGACACTTATGTTGTAAAGTGGAGCACGAAGAGAAAGCATGTTCATCTCGTTATTTTGGAGGCCCCCGCTGGTTGGAGGCCATCGCCAGTAGGTTGGAAGAAAGGACACCCCTGAGTAGGATAAAAGAAGACCAGCTGCCTCCTTTAGTCTTTGGCCATTTCATATGTCAAGTTTCACAGCTTGGCGCCGCTTTGCGCTGTCCCCACCTGCGCTTCGGTCATTCCAAGCTGCGTTAAGGCAGCGTGGAGCTCATATTTGCTAATGGCTCCTGAACACAAAAAAGAGAAGACGCAGGGACGCTACTAGTAACAAGTGCATCGCTTCTAGTAACAAGTGCCTTACTGGCAGTAACAAAGAGCTACTAGGAGCAAGAAGCTACCTAAATTAGAATTGAATTAGAATTAAATAAAGTAAAAGAAAAGAAGACGCAGGGACGCTACTGGGGGTCTCCTGGCCTTGCTACTAGGAGCAAGGGCATTCTTAGTTGTTTGTACGTGAAGGGCGGCCGTGAATCAGCGGCCGTGAAGGGATGAAGCTCAGTCCTTTTTTCGGAAATTATCAAGTAGCTTCTTGTTACTAGTGGTGAGGCCCGGAGCTACTAGTAGCGTCCTTGCTCCTAGTAGCGATGCCCTTTGCTCCTAGTGGCTTCTTGTTCTAGCTAGAACAAAAAGACTTTAAGGAACCTAATGGCCTCCAACCTGCTAGCGATGGCCTCCAACCTAAGAGCGATGGCCTCCAACCTGCTAGCCATGGCCTCCAACCTACTAGTTTTTTTGCTTGTTTTTGTGGCCTGTCCAAAATTCATGAGTTTTCCTGTGCTTGCCCTTGATTTGTTTAGAGGGTCCAGACGATCTATACTATGGAATGGGGTACCCCCACGTCAGGCGCAATCTTTTTACGGGATTGATATTTACAGAAGAGGGGGTGTGTCCACAACAGACACTTGTCGGGGCGCAGGCGTGAATTTTGTTCGAGGCGCTGCGTATTTTTCGTCGGGGTGGTAAACCATGGTTACGCACTTCAATAGGTCATCGTTGGCACCTTCTCAGGCCCCCCAATTACACTTATCCTTGCCCTTTGTGCCCCTTAATACGCCCATTTATGGTTCATTGGCTCAAAAAACCTTATTACTGGTTCAACACTGGTGTGGTCTTCAGCCCGAAGAGCTTCAACATGCGTGCTGGGGATGGGCAACTTTCTTCGAAACATTTTCAGATGAAACTACTAGGAGCAAGAGCAAGGATGCTACTACGAGCAAGGGCATCGCTACTGGGGGCTCCTGGCATCGCTACTAGGAGCATTCTTACTAACACGGTAAACCACTGAAAGCAGGTCGCATGAAGTTTTTTGCTGTATTCATATACTTCACGAATCGCAGTGTTTCTGAAGTTTGTCGGTATGTTATTCCCCTGCAGTATCAGCGGAGTGTTTGGCTGCGGCGACTTTGATGGCACATTCGGGTGGAATAAAAACAAAGGAATAAACAACAAAAAAGGTACTAAATCCCTTATCTTAATGTTCTAAAAACAACAATATCATTTGTCCCTTCGGTATGGTTGACACTTTGCGGTTTGGCTTACAGGACGGGGCGAGACACTGCAACAGCTTTGCTTTTCCTGTTTTTGGGGGCTACTAGTGGCTTCTTGTTACTAGTAGCGATGGCCTCCAACCTACTTGCGATGACCTCCAACCGAAGGACACCTCGTCTATTGCTACACTAAAGTGCAAGTTCTATCAGGTGACCTATCAATTGTTGCGACTGAAGCCAGACCCATTTTTCATGTTTCTCGACAGTCATGTCATGGCATGGTTTCAGCAACCCACGCATCCGCTCGACGAAGGCATCTGTGAAAAAGAGATGAACGCAAAGCTTGACCGTGGAGAACAAATGCATGAAACATGAGGACGGTGGCCGTGTCACTATGTTACCTCTTTTTCCCCACCTGCCAGGTGAGGGTTGTTAGATTTTATCACAGTTGTTCTTCCTCCGCCTCCGCCTCCGCCGCCTCCTCGTCCTCCTCCTTCCTCCTTCCTCCTTGCTTCCTTCCTCGCCAATCTTCATCGCCAATCTGCTTTGGATCTTGTCCAGCTCCGGATCGCAGTGTGCATCCCTGGACCTCAACCGCAAGGATCCGATCGCAGTGTGCACCCCTGGACCTCAACCGCAAGGATCCGATCGCAGTGTGCACCGCTGGACCTCAACCAGATAGTTTGCCAGATAAAATCCACAAACACACAATCACAAACACACGACCACAAACGCGCAACCACAAACACCCAATGACAAACACAATCACAAACCCACAATCACAAACACAATCACAAACACACAACTACAAACACAACTACAAAGAAAGACACAGTCACAAACACATAACCACAAACACAAAACCACACACACACACAACCACACACACACAACCACAACCACACAACCACAAACACAATCACACACACAACCACAACCACACAATCACAAATGCAATCACAAATGCAATCACAAACACAATCACAAATGCAATCACAAATGCAATCACAAATGCAATCACAAACACGCAACTACAAACACACAACCACAAACACAACCACAACCACAACACAGCACACAACCACAGCACAACCCGAGGACCCACAAGCAACATCGAGAACTACAATACTAACGACTATGGCAACATGCTCCTCACTATGGCATCAAGACAAATGATCGAAATGTCATGGTGGGGATCACTCGAAGTAACGTAATTTGAGACCGTCCTTTCTTGTTTTTCGTATGTCCTTTCGACCTGTCTTCGCTTTTGGCTTCTTTCAAGACCTTTCTTCCTTGTTTTCTATTTCTTGCTTTTCTTCTTTAGGCCTTTCTTCCTTCTTTGATTTTTCTTGACCGTCATTTAGACTGTTTGTTTGTTCTTTTCTTTCTATATATCTTTCTGTACACCATGATGTTTTTCTTTAGTCTGTTTTCTATTTTAAAGACTGTTCTTGATGTTCTTTCTGTTTCTTTGCTTTGTTTGGATCTTTCTTCCGGTTTTCTTGTTTTGATTGTATCTTTCTTCATTTTTTGCTTTTCTTCAGGCCTTTCGTCTTTTTTTGTTCTTCCTTTCTTTAGATCCTGCTGTCTTTTCGCTATTTTGACGGTTTTACAATCCTCAACATCGGCAAGTTGTAGTTTATATTTTTTGGCAGTCAGCTTCACGCAAATCTTCGGTCTCCATCTCCCGTGATGTCCCATTTCTTGAAGGCTTCTTCGACCTTAATTGCAAACACTTGGTGAATGACAATGAATGAGAAGCCATTAGATTGGAGGCCATCGCTATAAAGTTGGATGCCATCGCTCTTAGGTTGGAGACCATCGCGTCTAGGTTGGAGGCCATCGCTCTTGGGTTGGAGGCCATTGCTGGTTTGAGGCCATCTCTCTTGGTTGGAGGCCATTGCTAGTAGCTTCCTTTTGATCTTTTGATCTTTCCGGTTGCTACCTCGTTGCCCAAGCCTAGTGCTACCGGCAAGGACCAAAATGGCAAGTGGCGCACTTCAGCCTTGAAGATGGCTGTGGCTGCAGACAACAGTCGCCAGCATTCGCAAGAGGAAAGACGAAAGAGGACACCGCGCAGGACTGCGTAGCACTCACAGAGGAGGCACAAGCAAGAAGGGTGAGCACTGACAGCATTTTTCAGCCATTGGGTTGTCTGTAGTCTCCCAAGTGACCAAAGAGAGCTGAAGAGGAACGATCCCACGCCAAGACACTGTAGCCATCATCTGCTTCGTGCTCGCCGCAGTCTTCTTCTCCTTTAAATCCTTCGGGCCCGTTTGTGGAAAAGAAACAAAAGAAAAACACCCCCCGAATAGTAGGAGAAAGGACCTACAGGTTCAAACAAAAAAAGGAACGGAGAAAAACATACGTTTCAAGAACGTTTTGCACATACGTTTTTGGGGTCCTCTTTCATATCCTTCTTATCCTTCAGATCCGACTCCATGACCTCGGCATCGGAGCAAAAGTCTGCGTGCTTTAAACAAAGGAACGGACAAAGGAATGAACAAGGACGCTAGTTACTACTAGTAAGAAGAAGCTAACAAAGGCCATTGCCACTAGGAACACGAAGTTACTAGTAGGTCTGTGATGCTTTCTAGTAACTAGAAGCTTCTAGGTGGAGGCCATTACTACTTCGCTGAAGTTAGGTTGGTGCGGGCTATCCTGCATCCGAAGTAGTAGCTACCTGCAGCTACTAGGAACAAGTGCCTTACTAGTTACTAGTAGTAACAAGGACGCTACTAGGAACAAGAAGCTACTAGGAGCAAGGGCATCGCTACTAGGGGCTCCTGGCATCGCTACTAGGAGCATTCTTACTACTAGTTTCTACTAGCTTCTAATGCTTGCTTCTACTAGCTCCTTGTTACTAGTAGTAAGGCACTTGTTACTAGTAGTAGGGCACTTGTTACTACTAGTAACAAGAAACCTAGCCACCTCCTCCCTCTTGCAACGTGAAACGCGCTGTGGGCCGTGCTGCGCTCATCGGACGGCCGTGGGCCGTGTGGACCTGAAACCTCCTCGGAGTCCGTTCGTAGCGATGCACTTTGCTCCTAGTAGCGTCCTTGTTCCTACTAGTAAGGCACCTGTTACTACTAGCGTGGCACTTGTTCCTAGTAGCTTCTTGCTCCTAGTAGTAAGGCCAGGAGCCCCTAGAAGCGTTCTTGTTACTAGTAGCGAGGCACTTGTTACTAGAAGCGATGCACTTGTTCCTAGTAGTAAGAAAGCTACTAGTAGTAATGCCCTTTGTTACTAGTAGCTTCTTGTAGCGTCCGATCGCTCCGTTCGTAGCGATGCCCTTTGTTTCTAATAGCTTCTTGTTACCTGTGTTTCCAACTTGCAATGGCATTTGATTTTGAATTCATCTCATTTAAATGACTGGGGTCTTTTGGTGTTTAATTCTTCACATCTCTTTCAACATGCTTCAATATGCATGTTCTCCGAAAGGGGGGAACCTGTCGTTTCTTCGACCGAATTGCTAAGAGTCTGTATGTCAACAACATTTTGCAACAATTAAATACATAAATTTGTGGATTGACTGAAAGACCTTGAGCCATGAACTTTTCCGGCAAAGACAAGAAAACTGGTTGATGCCTTGGGTATTGCCACTCAGGAGGAACACCGGCCTAAAGTGTGAAACAAAGTCCTCGTAGCTCGTAGGTTGGAGTCCATCGCTTTAACTCAACAAGAAGGTCAATTTTAGCTGGTAGGTTGGAGAAAGAGCACTCGTAGCTAGTGTCACTGGCTGCAAATCTCCACCAAGTCGGCGGCGTCCGTTACACGTAGGGGCACAAATGATTGCGGCACAACGTAGCGTCCGCAGCGTTTAGGTAGAATCCATCTAACTACATTGCCAAAGAGTTCACATCACCATCGGGGAAATGTTCAAGGGCCAAACACCGAGTCTTGGAAGGTGTCAAGGCAAGAAAAGAGGAAAGAAGGAAAGAAGAAAGAAATCATTAGTCAGCTAGGAGCGTACAAGTTTGTCCCTTAATTAAGTAGGTGCCTACTTATTTAAGTAAGGGCAGGCCTTCAAAAACAAAAAACGACTAGTATATTCCAAAACTTGAGAACAAAAAGCTACTAGGTCCTAGGTAGGGGCTCCTGGCATATAGGGGCTCCTGGCCGTACTTCAAGCTACTAGCAACAAAGGGCATCGCCACTAGGAGCAAGGACGCTACCCAGCCCGAAGACGCCAAAGACCGCTTTTCAAACTCGACTTGCAACGAACGGATCTAATCTCGATCTAATCTACGCAGGTCTCATCTGCGATCAATAAAGACGCCAGTAGGGTAGAGGCCATCGCTTCTAGGTTGGAGGCCATCCCTAGTAGGTTGGAGGAATCTACTCCGTTTGCAGCATCCAAAACACTAAAGCAACCTGGCCTGCAAAAGGTCAAACGGCTATCGCAACCCCCTCAACTCACCGAGGCTGTCAACAACAGCCCACAAAGACAAACATGCTGACCGTCAAGAAAAGGTGTTTGCAGTGACCAAAACGTCATAAACAAATTTCTACTAGGAGCAATGTTCGCTACTAGGGGCTCCTGGCCTCGCTACTAGGAACAAGAATGCTACTAGTAACTCCTGGCATCCCTACTAGGAACCGCATCGCTACTAGGAGCGAGGACGCTAGTAGTTCTTTTTAAATCACCTGGGTTCGGGAAGGATGTGATGTGCAAGACCACGGTAGCAACACTGTCGTCGTTCCGTGGAGTTCCTAGTGGCGATGCCCTGTGCTCCTGGTAGCAAGAATGCTCCTAGTAGTAAGGCCAGGAGTGCTCCTAGTAGCCAACATTGCTCCTAGTAGCGATGCCCTTTGTTACTAGTAGCTTCTAGTAGGCCAGGAGCTGCTAGCAGCGTCCCTTGCAATTAGCTTGACACAGCCAGAAATATTATATTTTTGTGGATGGTCCTAGCATGCTTGCTTCGTGCTCTATGGTGGGTTGGCAGGAACCGACTAGCCAGGCGCTTTGCACTTTAGCACGGGTTATTGGCGAAGATGGCAGCCTGAAAAAACAACAATTGAAATTGACTGTTCTGAAGGCCACTTTGCATTGACCCAAAGCCGTCATACATAGAGGTGTGCCTGCGCATGTTTTTCTACTGATTCTAGCGTTGAAATCTCTCTGCTCTCTCGTTACAAGAACAGTGTCTTGGGGTACATAGATCTAGGAACCAAATCACTAACAAGAAGCTACTAGGTTGGAGGCCGTCGATAGTAGGATGGAGGCCATTACTACTAGTAAGAAGAAGCTACTAGGAACAAGTGCATCGCTTCTAGTAACAAGTGCCTTACTAGTAGTAACTTGAGAGAGGAGGGGGTGAACGAAAGGTAGCAGGCAATCACAAGTAACCCTGGTAGAAGTCCATGACGGCGTGAACCGGCGCAGGGGGGATTTGATCCAGGGAGGGGGGGCCCCCCCCGACGAACAGAATCAACTCTTACAGGACCAAATTCAATGCACAATCCCAACTCTTGATTGTAATACATTTTTGCTAAAGCAAAAATGAACTCAGGTAGCTCAAGCTACCTTTCGTGACAAGGACGCTATCTAGAAACCAAATCATTAGTGCGATCGCTTCAAGGAAGCTCCTCCCCCCGCTTTCAGGGGGAGGGGGGGGCTTCGTTGAAGAAGCGTGAGCTATCGTCCTGTCGGTAGCTGCGTCCTGTTCCTAGATAGCGTCCTTGTTACTACTAGTAAGGCACCTGTTACTAGTAGCGTGGCACTTGTTTCTACTAGCTTCTTGTTACTACTAGTAAGGCTCTTGTTACCAGAAGCGATGCACTTGTTCCTAGTAGCGTTCTTGTTACTAGTAGCTTCTTGTTTCTAGTAGCTAGGAGCTTCCTCCCTTACTTGATTAGGTGCCCATTGCTATTCGGTGGGAGGCCATCGCTGGTAGGTTGGAGGCCATTGAAACTGGACTACTTAAGTAGGAGTGGGTGAGTGGGCTAAATCAAAAGAAACCAACCCACTCCTTAAGCTCATGACTAAGAGGCCGCTTGTTTGCTTGTAGCTTATGCTACTTACTGCTGACGCTTGCCTCCTTAACCTACTTGGCAACTGCATCTTCTTACCACCTCTTGCCCCGTAGGCCTTTCCCCCTCCGCTTCTTTTTTTTCCAAACTTGTTATGTGTTCCTCTATATTTTTCGTTCGGGCCGAACAGGAACTCTTGTGTGACCTTATAGAACCACATCACTTCGTGCACTTTGCCAATCCCATGACAAGCTGTGTTAAAGCTGGTGAATTCCCTAAAGGACACTATCGCAATGCAGAGATGACACAGCTCAAAAAAGTCGGTCGGCCAATCATGCTCTGCGCAGCTATTGAATCGAATTTGGGGTGCAAGCTTCTGAGAGTCTGTACAAAAAATTTGAGCCTTCCTGGACATCTAGCTAGTATATAGGTTGGAGGCCATTGCTGCGTCTCCCATGGCAGGACAATGTAAAGAGGAGTTGTTGAACCAGAAGTGTCTTTCCTTCCCTCGGTGGATGTCTGGAACAGGCAACCCCCCCAAAAAAAGCATCAAGAGTATCTAGAGTCTAAAGGATTCTTCTGGTGCATCTACAAGGTCCGGTGTCAGCTGATGCTCGAGAATTTTCAGTTCCGACAAGTCAAAGCTCGACTTGGAAGGCATGATGGAAGATATGCACAAGGGCTACGGGCGCCTGGGTACCGGAAGTCTTCGCGACCAACTACCCAGCAAAATCCAACATCCTTGGCTGAAAAGGCAGGTGCCGAGAGATGACCGAGAAAGGACGCTACTAGGGGCTCCTGGCCTTACTACTCGGAGCAAGGGCCTTGCTACTAGTAACAAGAACTAGAATAGAAGTAAAAGAAATTAGAAGTAAGTTTAATTAGAATAAAAATTAGTAGCAAAGGAATCTACTAGGACCTTTTCCCGCGTGGGGCCGGGGTAGGAGCAAGGACGCTACTAGGGACACTCCTGGCCTTACTACTAGGAACAAGGACGCTACTAGGAAAGGGCATCGCTACGAACGGAGCAAGGACGCTACTACGTGCAAAAATAGATGAAGTGTCAGACGGATCGTATGAAACCCGTGGTCTAGCGTCCTTGTTCGTAGTAGTAAGGCCAGGAGACCCTAGTAGCTTCTTGCTCCTAGTAGGGTCCTTGTTCCTAGTAGCCTAATAGATCTTAAAGCCTACTGGCACTACTTGAGGAACTTGTTCGATCTCAGTGGCGACCTCTCAGCCCCTTCAAGGGACCAAAGCAGGCAAACGAGGCGCGTGCCATGTGAGCAAATAGGCCAGCATTTTTCTGCAAAAGCTTCGTTCCTTCCAGTTCCCCTTCAAGTGATTGAACTCGAAAAAGTAACTCAAAGATCTTGCCGGAGTAAAGGACGTGAAATGGATTTAAAATGGATGTTCAGCAACTAGTAACAAGAAGCTAGTAGAAACAAGTGCATCGCTTCTAGTAACAAGTGCCTTACTAGTAGTAACAAGACGATAGTAGAAACAAGTGCATCGCTTCTAGTAACAAGTGCCTTACTAGTAGTAACAAGACGATAGTAGAAACAAGTGCATCGCTTCTAGTAACAAGTGCCTTACTAGTAGTAACAAGGATGCCACTAGTAACAAGAACCTACTAGGAACAAGTGCATCGCTTCAGGTAACAAGTGCCTTACTAGTAGTAACAAGGACGCTACTAGTAACAAGAAGCTACTAGGAACAAGTGCATCGCTTCTGGTAACAAGTGCCTTACTAG